AATAAATTAGTACATCTTGATAATCATTGAAAGATATATTAATAAAACACCCTTTTTTTTTTAATTTACCAGCTGTTGCTCGCGACTTCGGTCGCGTGAAATTAAAAAAAATACAAACCTTTTTAACGGTGAAGGAATTTTTAAAATCGGCCTAGTTGTTTTTAAATTATTTCAATATATACAAAAATACAAATCTTTCCTTTTTATAATATTAGCATAGATATACTCGTAGATATAATTAATAAGTTATATTGCTTATTCACTTCAGATAATAGATATTAAAAAAACGAATCTGAGTTGTCATTGTAAACAATATGGCGTCAATAATACTAAAACAGGATCCAAGGTAAGGTCGAGTATTAATATATTTTGAACGAAACCCGGTGAAAGTGCACATGTATATATTCTACATATACGAACAGAATGACAGAGTGATTGTTTTCACCGCGTCGCGAGAATATTAATAGTAAAAGTGAAGTACCAACGAAGGCGAAGGAAACTGCATATGCTCTTGTGGAAACAAAGCGTATTCATTTACAATGTATAATTTTTATTCTATTTTAGATTGTAAAAACCAACAGTAGTAAAGCCCGCTTTAACATTTTCGCACGAATGGGCCGGCACGCCCCCAGTAATACCACGACCATACAGAAAACAGGCGTGAAGTGGAAGCAATACCGCGTTTCGTCTGACGAGTGTGGTGCCGGAGGCCTAATTTTAGTCTCTCCCTTTCCACCCTTTTCTTAGAGAAAAGAATGGGAAGGAAAAGTGGATTTGACGGTGGAGGAGACGCATAGGAAAGGGGAAATTTCCTCTTTATGTGCTCTCTTCCGTCAATTAAGGGTAGGCAACGCATCTGCAATTGCGGATGTTTATGGGCAGCGGTCGCTTTCCATTTCGGTGGATTCAGGTGGTGGCTTCGTTTGCCACCTTATATTATAAAAAAAAACCAAGGACAATACTAAACATATTATTATAGCGATGATATTTCAAGATCAATAGATTACGTATTTAGTATATATCGAAGCTTTAAAAGAAATTGCGTTATGTAACCAGTTAACAACCTCATATATTACAAAACAAAACCACTACGTAAGCGGCAAGAATGTTAGCCGATATTAAATGATTTAGTGTTTCTGCGGAGACCAGCAATTATGTGGAAATTCGAGTCAGGTTGCATTGCATAACACTCATACAACACTAATATAAATTGTTATCAAATACTGTTAATTAAATATACGCTTAACTAATAAATCTTTAAGTTAATTTACTTGAAAATGAAATCAATTTCATTTTTTATTTAGAGGAGGTGCATAGGAAGAGGAAATATCCTCTTTATGTGCGTCTCCTCCGTCGGATAAGGGTAGGCAAAGCAATTGAAGATGCCTATGGGCGGTCACTTCGCCATTTTGGCGGATTCAGGTGGCCGCTTGCTCGTTTGCCATCTTGTTATAAAAAAATATATGTTATCATGCAAAAGTGGATAGATATTTCTTAAAGTTTGTAGTCTAAACGGCTTAAGAAATTTCCAATAAATTTGGCATAGATTTAAAAAATAGTCTGGAAACACATAGGCCACCTACTTTTTTTTATTCCACACGAACGGAGTCGCGGGCGAAAGCTAGTTTCCTAATTTATTAAGACGTTAATTAATCATACTACCGGTAAATATTCATGGCGGACATGAACGTGGGTTTAAATTCGCAAAACCTCTAAAAAAGATATCTATCTCAGTTATTTCAGTTCAAATGAAAGAGACATCAACACATAACGTTCAAATTGAGACAAAACATCTAACTTCCTTCCTTCCGTAACCAAGTAATTATAATTTATTGCTTCCTAACAATTGTCCCAGTTTCCCAGAACGCTAAGAAATGTGAAAAACGTATCGGCATTCATAGCGATATACTTAGAAACTAAGTTGGCAATGGAACTCATGCGAGTTATATCGTTTGTTGACTTTCTTGTATAATATTAACATAATTGTATCAGTGATTTGCGCACTCTTACTCGATCTATAATGTATCCTTTTGTAAGTATCTCACTAAAGTATATGATAAAGTTTAGATGGATCTTTGTTAGAGTTTGTAGCCTAAACTGTTGAACGGATCTCGATGAAATTTGGCATAGATGTAGAGGATAGCCTGAAAGAGCAAGTATGCTACTTGCTTTTTTGTTCTCGCAAACAGAGTCGGGCGAAAGCTAGTAAGCGTACACACCTCATTGTTACTTAGGATGCCAGCAATCACAGAGTGATGATGATTTGACAAATGTGAACAATAAAATGATTTTTTTTATATTTCTTCGCGGATGAAGTCGCATGGGAACAGCTAGTCTTCTAATAAGTAGTATTCTAAAACTATTTTACAAATAAGATCGTCATTTATTTTATTTCACAATATCCATGTCCTTTCTGTTTTAGTTTAAGGTCTGTGTTCAAATGTTTTAATATTCAAAGCAGAATATATGGTGATAGTTGACAGGAATTCTCATTTCAAATACAATGTTATTGGAAATTGTTTATGCGAAAGGTTACTTTTATTTTCTCTCTTTTAAATAACTTTTAAATCACGTCTTTGACTTATCTTAAAGTAAAACCGAACAAAAATGCTGTGACATTTTATTTTACTAATTACGTATCACTTTATCTTTTGAAAGTACTTTCTTTTCTCGGTGCGAAATTATTTTGAGGTTATCTGAAAGGGTTAAAATATAGATGTACAAACTTTAAGAAGCCGTTATACTTGGCTCAAAAAGTCTGCGTATAATGGCCGAATTTTGAAACTAATCTCAAACAGTGCTTCGTAAGTACAGTAAGTAAAAATTTAATCTAACTAATATTATAAATGCAAAAGTTTAGATGGATGTTTGTTAGATTTTGTAGCCTAAATTGCAGGACGGATCTCGATTATATTCGGCATAGATGTAGAAGGTAGTCTGAAAGAACATATAGGCTTTACTTTTTTTTAATTCCACGCGGACGGAGTCACGGGCGAAAGATAGTTTTACATATTTAAATGTTTCCAATTTGGCTGTTACTGGCCTATATTAACATTTCTACTATTTCTTAAGTTATTTAAAAAAAAATGAAATAATATAGTTTTATTAATTTTCCCCCTGGGCAGGGGACTTGTGTCCAAACTAGGGTAGCGTCCTATGCAACATTAGATCTTAGAAGATGTCGTAATATTTATAAAAGGACACGAACAAAGATATTTAGTACACAGTCGGGCATAATTATTAAACGACTTCTTTCATTACGACTTATAAAGACTGTAAACTCAAATAACACTTTTTGTTACTTCTTTGTCTTTTAGATAACGGTGTTAACATTAATGAGTCTACCTTGGCATCATAAAGTAAGGATTACTACGTGAATTTACAGCTAGGAATTACGTCTTAATAATCTCTTTAATAGAGCCATATAGCTATACAAATGTTGTTATCAAACGTGTTAAAAGATATCGTTGTTAAATTTTGCTATAACCACGTAAGGCACAACTACGTAGGTAATAATCATTTAACGATGTCACTAAGTAAGACATGTTTTCTTAGAGAGAATTTTTATGGTTACTCTATGCTGACGTCCGCTCCTGTCGGTTGCTCGGATAGAACTGACTTACTGGCATACCGTCATGACAGTAGACAAGTGTTATCATACACTACTGGCATTATCAAAGATATTTCGTACTAATGTCGTATTTAATATTAAAAATGCGAAAGTTTAGATGGATGTTAGTTTGTGGCCTAAACGGCTGAACGGATTTCAATGGAATTTGGTATATATGTAGAGTATAGTCTGGAAGAACACATAGTTTACTTTACACTTTTTTATAATTCCACGCGGACGGAGTCACGGGCGAAAGCTAGTTTAATATAAGTATAAGGGATAACAGTTAAAAGTATTATAGCTTAAAAGAAAGGACTGAAATAACGGAAAATTGATCTAAAGGGCGAAATCTATTACCTTACGTGGTAAGGACAGATGTGTTGTTCAATATGTATAAAAGTGGAAACTCAAGATGTACATAGCGGAACTTGAAGCGTACAATCTTTGGTCCGCTGAAGTCGACTTTCCCTTGTGCATTCACACGTTTTCAAAGAAACTATTCACTACGTTAAATTGTGATATAACATCAGTGATGGTTGACATTTAGTTGTTTGGTGATGTCTTGTTTATTTTTTTACGTAAGCGAAGAGTGCCTAAAATTCAGTGACCTCTTTAACTGTGAGTTTTGACTATAGAAATGATTGTATATAATATATTCTACTTGTAAAACTGTAGGTCCTTAAGTAAACTAAGTAATTGCGAAAGGAAAATTTTACAAAAGAGCGTTTTAAATGTTTGAACCAAAAATCTTCACTTCTATAGCACTTTTTTACTCGATTTTTTTCCTATCACTTGTTATTGAAACCCATATTCATTATGTGAGTGGTACAACAATTTTAATACTCTTCCCCTTTCCATCTATTTCATACAAGGGAAGGACGGAAAGGGGATGTAGATTTGGCGGGGGATGGTACGCATACTTAGGGGAAATCCTCTTTCTGTGCGTCCCCTCATTTGTTGATTAAAGGCAAACAACACATCTGCAAATACGCATATCTATTGGCAGTGGTCTCTTCGCTATTTTGGCGAACTTCCGTGACCGTTTGCTTGTATATCAACATATATTATAAAAAAACATTGAAAGTTAAATCTCGTAATAAAATACATAAACGCGTTTTGTTTTATTTTATTGTTGGTTTACTAATTTTAATGCTGCAGAGTCGTTGGAAACTATTCTATTTAAATACGTCATATAAATATAAATTAATTCAACATCGCGAATGAGGAATCGATTGCAATGATATCGAAATATCGAGCGAATCGATTTTGTATCGACATTGAATTTACGATTAATTTATATTAACGTAACCTTTTGCTATTGGATATTAAAATCGAAAGTAGGTATCTAAACCATATTTGCAATAACTTTATTAGATGTAAATATTCTTACCAAATTATATGTTGAATGGTGGATCAGGAAATCTGGAAAAATTAATACATTTGATTAAAATAAAATGTCAAAACACTTCAAGGTTATTTGAAAGAATCGTTATATCTAGTTATGTAAGATTTTAGATTGAGGAATTTTAATTAGGAATTTGACCTTTTGTCATCAATGACACGAAACGTTGACGTATTTTAGAGTTAACTAGCTATTGCTCGCGATTTCGCTCGCGTGGAATTAAAAATTAATTACAGTGGTAGTGCCCGCTTTAACATCCATGTAATACCACGACTACACAGAAGACAGGAGTGAAATGGAAGCAATTCCGTGTTTCGTCTGATGAGTGTGGTGTCGGAGGCCTAATTTAAGTCTAATTTAAGGAGAGGTTGGGAAGAGGAAGTGGATTTGACGGCGGAGGAGATGCACAGGAAGCGGAAATATCATCTTTATGTGCGTCTCCTCCTCCGTCGTATAAGGGTAGGCAACGCATCTGCAATTGCGGATGTCTATGGGCAGCGGTCGCTTCGCTATTTTGGCGGATTCAGGTGGCCGCTTGCTCGTTTGCCACCTTGTGTTATAAAAAAAAAACGCCTGTTACTTACTGATAACATTGCTGTTTAGCGGTGGAAGAATTTTTCAAATATGCACAGTAGTTTTTAAGTTATTTCAATACATACTGATTTTAATCAACTATTAGGTGCAAATGCAAGACGAAGCTTTCAATATTAAAACTTATCAAAGAAATATATGACAGACAATTAAAGCCTGCAGTTCTCTAATTTTACCTTTGAATTAACTAAATAGAATTTATCAAATTCATTTTAAAACACAAAATAAAATGTAAATCATAAAATTGTCGCTTACGACAGTTTACGAAAGAGCCGTCGTTTAAGTTTATTGATGATACAAATATGTCTGCATATAATAAGTTTGTGTACCTTATGAAGGTTGAGATAGGTTTTTTACTTTAATACGGGGAAAGACAATTTTGATGTGCTTTTCAAATTTCCAACTGACGATTTCCGCTTCAGTTTTTAAATTTAGTTTTACAGTCGTTTAGTTTGTGGTTTTCATCACATATCAATGACATAGTATTTATTTTTAAATTAATATAAACCACTAGCTTTCGCCCGCGACTCCGTCCGCGTGGAGTTAAATAAACAAAAGTGAGTAGCCTATGTGTTCTTCAAGATTATCCTCTACATCTGTACCAAATTTCAACGAAATCTGTTCAGGCGTTTAGGCTACAAACTCTAACAAACATCCATCTAAACTTTCGCATTTATAATATTAGTATGACAAGGCATAACATAATCGCTCTATGTAACTGTACTAGGCATAAAAACCTGTTAACATACACCTGTAGCATTAAAAATATTTGAATTTAAATGTCTACATAATTAACATCTATACAAAATCATAAATTATCACTGGCAGCTAGTAAAAAATATTATGGGGCATAGCAATTGGGCTTTCGCCGTACAAAACGATATAAAACGATTACTCGTCAAAACCCATCTCGCAACAGGTGAAAGCAGAAGAACGCGTTTTATGCACGGAATCACTCGCGACAAGTTTTAAGGCGTATTTCCACTGGTCTACATCGGATACTCGTGATTCGCAGTGGAAACAGCTTGCTCTGCACAAACGTCTTTTGACGTAAGATCGAAATAAAGAAGGGAAGTTTTCCCATACATTAATGACATTTTATTTTGGAATATTTAATGGTAAAGTGAATGGACATTACAAAAGGATATCTTATATTATATTAGCATATCTACTATTCTTACTAATATCATAAATGCAATACTTTGGATGGATGGATGTTTGTTACTTTGTATCTCAATAAAATTTGTCACAGATGTAGAACACCTAGAAGTATAGACTACTTACTAAGTTATTTTTTTAATTCCGTTAAGTAGTCTCGGGCAAAAGCTAGTAGATAATACAGATGATAAAAATATACCAGACGTACTATAAAGTTTTAACGTTATGTGACATTTGTCTATGGTTTCGGGTTTTCGTTATCAGCGAGATATAAAATTGGGTTACTCTTCGTAGTCAGTGCGTAATAACGCATCGTGGAACTCCTCCTTTAGCGATCAAAGCGATTGAATGCGATTAAAAGCGATTGCCGGCGATTCGTGCTCGCTGTCGCTACGTGTTAACATTCTTGCATATTTTACCTGTCTCCGGCTGTGAGAGTCCGGTGTCAAGTACTAAATAAATGTCACTTAACTTTCTTCGTTATGTTTCAACGTTAAAAAAGACATTCGTATTATATATTCAAATATATTTTGTGTAAATAAATACAATGATTTAGAAACAAAATCCAAAACAACAGACGAGATCCGTGGAGACGTCCAATTGGTACCTTCTAACTTATTCATCAAAACTTTTGTATTTACTTTATTAGTTAGTCGCGACTTCGTCTGCATGTAATTAGAATAGTGTATGTTACTGACTGATAACGTAGCTTTTTAACGGTGAAAGAATTTTTTAAATCGCCAAAGTATTTTTTGAGTTATTCCAATACATAAAATACAAATCTTTATAATTGGTATAGATAAAACAAATAAATAAATAAATAAATAAATAAATAAATAAATAAATAAACAGAATTTATATTGCCACAAAAAAAAAAAACTACATAAACATTTAATGCACAAAACCTTAGATCTAATATAAAAAATAGAAGGAAATGTGGCAAAAGGCAAGCTCAGCTAATGCAGGGACGGCGCAAGCCGTTACTGCGCTGGTTTTCAGCTGGCCCCTTTACACATGAGTGTTAACACATAAGTAGGGGGACTTAACCTAGACAGACATTAAAATATTAAGGTTACAATTTTATTCTTTTTCAAAGGCTAGATAGTAATTTCTAAAGATAATTAAAAAAATAACATATAGGTTCAAATTCAAACTTAGTTTATAATTGAGTGTGCATACCAATGTGATATTCATCGCTATATCTAAGTAATCTAAGTAAACGATGCTTCGAAAGTTGGTTACTAAGTTTGTATCTTATTGTTATTACAATTTCTAGTGCTGCGGACTACTTAGACAGCGATCGGAACAAGCCTACATCTAAATAGTCGACAATTTGCTCTTATTTTGCGGTTATGTGGACCGAGACGACGACTGGCCTAACATTACACAAACTGAAACAGGTTTTAAGCTAAGAAGCCTTTTTACCCTGGCAAATTAGAGAGGGGTAATGTTTTCCAAGAGTATGCAAGTTTGTAGACAAGGGCATTAATGAACTGTAACAACGTAATAAAATTAGACACTCAGGCCACTGCCTCCCGCCAGAATGGGTCCTCTCGTGGGGACAGATGGGAATAAAAAGTTTCATCCGTCCCACCTTTTGCGACGAGGGGACGGTTGGAACTTATGTCATGATGATTCCATCTGTCACCTTATTGGTGATTGTGGGACTAAAAGGTGGGACGGATGTAACATTTTATTCTCCCGTGGGGACACAGCGGGGTGACGGTTGGAAATAATCCCAGAATGGCGCGCTATTCTATTATGTCTGAATGACATTGACAGCTGTCAGATAGGGATGGGACTTATATGCCAAGAACACTCGACACTGGACCAATCCGCTAAGGGAGTGCCTAGCGGGTGCAGTTGACGTGAGAATTGAAATTCTAAAAAAATAGTGAATAAATCGAGTTCAATTAGTCTCGATATTTCTTTCTCTTCTAAAACTTATTTTTAAATATTTTCAAGTACAGTTATCTTTTTTTTTTAATTAAGGGTAAGGTTTAAAGCTGCCAGTATTAAATATTATAAAACATATTACGTGCTCTTTTGTCAGTGTCCGTGAATTTGTCCGATAAGCATCGACATCGACAAGTCATTAGTGTGCATTGTGTCGTAACGTAAGAAATCATCGAACAGGTATTCAACGAGGGCTTTGAGTTACGTAATCTAAGTAAACGAATTACGAATATTTAAATACTTCGAAAGTATTATGTATTCAATATTAAGATGAACATATATAATTCATAAATAATACCAAAACGCCGTATGCGTAGGTTTTTAGTAATTAATGTTAGGAATATTGTTACTGCTGAATATCGGTGCCCACGATACAGGCATTGCCTAGTGTGGGCATCACCAGACTAACCGTATAAAAAAAAGTCCAACAAAGATCTAGGTAATATAAGAGAGGGGCACGGTAAGCGCCGAGATATTTGACAGATTAAAAATAATTCATAAAAAATACTTTAATTGATAGATATTTGTAACTTGTAGAACACTTCATCACCATCTTTCTCCTTATCCTACTCCTGTAGTGACGCAACAGATTTTTGTCCTCCACATAACTATCATACGTCATCTCAGTCATCACTCTCTTCTTGATCATGTCACCTTTCACGCAACCCATCCACCTCTTTCTAGGTCTACCTCTACCGTGCTAACTAACGTTCTCCTTGTAGAACACCTCAACGGATTTAAAATAAATTCGTCACTAAAGAAGAGTACAGTCTGGAATAACACAGTAATACTTCCTAAGTTTCTTTTTTAAAAAACGACGCGTTTTAACGTAGTAATAGAGTGATACGTTAGACTGTGGTCAGCAAATGTCGATGTTTCTATATTTAGCGAAGCGGAGCAATCACCTCTGCTACCGATGCTTACTCCTCTCATTTGCACTAACCAATGTGTCTCTTAACCTTTTTCTATCAAGCTCACACATTCTCCTCTAGCGTAAACAAACCATAAGTTCTGATAAAACTTAATTACTCGTTTTGAGAGAGTAATTTGAATCAATATGCATTCATTTAGCTGACACAGCATGATCCGTAATGTCTTAACTATGAAGCAAACAAGCGGCGGGAACACACAGGTGGTCAGGAAAGGCCATAGACATCTGCAACACTAGAGGAACTACAGATTCGTTGCCGGCCTTTGAGGGAATGGTAGGCTCTAACTTCGCGATTGGAAACAATCGTAACCCTTAGTAGTAAGTTAGTTATGCGCTGTTTTTATCTATATTAATGTAACAAAGCGTAGACACACACTGCTTCGTGGCGTAGGATGTCAGTACTCATAGCATATTTTTGAATAATTCTTTCTTTAATTAAAGTCCCTACGCTTGCGACACGCTTTGGACTATATATTTTCACGCTTTTAAACTTACGGGGTAAATAAATAGGAAAAAACCTTCATGTAGAAAAGGGATACCTTAAACTACAAGCTGCCAACATTAAGAAAGCAAGATTATTGGTAACGGTAATTAACATTTGCAATTGAGAATTTGACAAATGTAAAATAAAATCAAGTTTTTTATAATTTCACGCGGATGAAGCCGCATAAGAACAGTTAGTTAAAATATTCTTGTTACTATAAATGTTCACATTTGATCTTAGAAATAAAGTGAAATTACATATGCAATCCATTTAATAAAAACCAATTTATCGTTTTAATTGCTTTAAAAATTACTTTTAGTGTTTGAAATTTCAAATAAATCAAATGTTGTAAGTTACATTCATTAATATAACAGTTACTAAAGCTTTAAAATTTCGTAATCGTGTCATATGAATATTTTAATAATTGTTTATTGAATTTCATCGCATTCATTTGAGGTTGTGAAAAAATTACAAAGTTACACAAATCGTTTAACTATTTTAATCGACTTTACAAATTGGTATATTGAATTAATAGAAATTTACAATATACCAATACACGTCGCAGAGAATCGCACAGAGTGGAGAAACACACTTCGAGAGAGTGTCAAGGTGACCACCCTGGTCGCGACCCACAGGAATGAGGAAACGATCCGGAGAGAGAGAATAGAAATTTAGCTATTTGAATTAGTATAGTAAAGTACGATCGGGAAATCTAACTAAAATATACTAGGTTTCGTCTGAGACTCCGTCTGCGTGGAATTAAAAAACAAACTAAGTAGCCTATGTCTTCTTCGAGACTGTAATCTACATCTACCAAATTTCATCGAAATCCGTTCAACAGTTTAGGCTACAAACTCTAACAAACATCCATCCATCTAAACTTTCGCATTTATAATATAATAAGATTTAAAACTTATTGAATCATTCCATCTAATAAATAAACTGTATGCAATTCCGTTGCGTAGTCAAAAGATCCAAACATACATAGACAGACAGAAAGCGGGACTTTGTTATACATATAGTTATACCTAGCTGTTCCCGTGCGGCTTCATCCGCATGAAATTTGGAAAATTTCATTATATTGTTCACATTTCTCAAATTATCAATAGCAAGTGTCAAAATGACATGACATGGCACACCTTGGCAACCTTGCTTCCTTGATGTTGGCAGCAACTTATGGTCTCTTTCCCACATTAGAGTATTTATGCAAAATATTTACCTCCTAAGTTTAATGGCGTGAAAATATATAGCCTAAAGCGTGCAGTAAGTGTAGGGCTTTTTATTAAAAAAAGAATTATTCAAAAATATGCTGTAATTGCTGACATCTTAGGCAACAAAGAAGTGTGTGTTTACGCTTTATTATAATAGTATAGATGAAGTAGGCAAAATTACCAACACACGTAAACATTAATCTTTTAATTTGATGCTTAATAAGTATAAAAAGTTATCAACCTTGAGAATAACCAAAACGATTTCCTTTTCGAACTTTCGAGAATATATTCTTTCAAGTGTGCTTTAAAGAAAATAATTGTAAGGATTGGTCTAATCAGAGTTGATCACGTGGCCAGTTCGTTCAGTACCGGTTAGTGCAACAACCCCATACAATGCTCGGCCGCAAGATCTATGAGTACAGGGCAACATGAGTAAAGGTTTGCCATCTACAAAAATATTATGTTTCTACTCTATGCCTCAACCTTTGGTAAAATTTTCTAGAAACTTCACTAAGGTCTAGAAATAGTGAAAATCGTGTTCAAAAAATAAAACCATTTTTTTGCGTAAAGTCTTTATTTTTTAAATAACCATAATGTATTAAAAAATTGTTTTAGACATGTAGAAATATACTGTTACAATCTAATAGTAACCGTGTCACATTGGGATAGAGTTCAAAATCGTTTAAACATATTTCGGTGCTAACGGACTTATAATCACTACATTTATAATGCAATTATAATGAAATAAAAAACTATAACGATTGTATATGCTATGGGTGGTCGTATAAGATACAAAAGCACTGGAATATAGCTCTTATTGCATTACGATAAGGTTAATTATTAAATAACTATTAACTACAGATGATTTCAAATAGATAAGATTTTTGAGTATATTAACTTTAAAATCTTATATTTTTGACATCTTATATTATTTTTTTTTTCAAACTCGTTGATGTCTTTTGTATCAATCCGTAGAATTACTTAACATAATCGATAATTTAAGTAATCATACTAATATTATAAATGCGAAAGTTTAAATGGATGGATGGATGTTTGTTAGAGTTTGTAGTCTAAACAGCTGAACGGATTTCTATGAAATTTGGTATGGATGTAGAGGATGGAAGGACACATAGGCTACTCCCTTTTGTTTTTTTTTAATTCCACGCTAACGGAGTTGCGGCCGAAAACTAGTTTTTTGATAATTAAAAAAAAAACATTGTAATCTAGAATATTTATCTATATTACCAATTCGCGATAGTCCCAGTTATGACCATACGCTGTTTGATAAAAATATCGTACGCAAACTGAAATATTATTGTTTATAACCGTCGCTGATTTAAAAACAAACAAACAGTCCACAATCGATTGACCAATGTTTGTGTTTAAACGCATTCATAATTGATTCAGGGAAAACAATGCCTAATAAAAACTTATATTGAATACATTCCAATAACACGCCGTCATCTAATTCGATTTAAAATCAACACAGTATTTAATTAAACAGTTGACAAAAACATTTACTATTTACACGATTCATCTAAGTTTTAAGTGCCTTATTTAAAGAAAAGAAAACCATTGCTAACTTAGCTAAAACCAATTGCCTTACGGCTAAATAAAAAACGTCATTTCAATCAGTAAATCGGTCTTAAATGATAAGGCAACACTTAAACTACACTAAGGACATCGTCATACTAATATTATAAATGCAAAAGTTTAGATGGATGGATGGATGTTTGTTAAAGTTTGTAGCCTAAACGGCTGAAGAGATCTCGATGAAATTTGGCATAGATGTAGAACATAATCTAGAATAACACATACGCGAAAGCTAGTAATATAATAAATGCGAATGTTTATATGCACGTAAATAATTGGATCTTCATGAAATTAACCCTTATATAGCCTGATTTTTTAAATCAAATACAAAAATAAGTGTAACCTTTACTGTGTGTTTTACTAATGGCGAAAAATAGTTAAATCAAAAAGATGTTTTTATAGTTTCGTGATAAGCTCCTTTTTCTAACTTGAAAATAACATCGATTGTAGCCTAATGCAATTTATAAACCGGGTATCAAATTAGAAACTTCAGGTATTTAGGCATGGATGTAGAAGAGTCTGGAAGAACACAAAGGTAATAACCACTTCTTAAATTCCGCGCGGACAACCTCTGGCGTAAGCTAACATATGAAAGCAACCGTCGACATTCTTTTGTTTTCAAAACATTTAACATATGACAGACTAGCTTTCGCCCGCGACTACATCCGCGTGGAATTAAAAAATCAAAATTGTGTAGCCTATGTCTTTTTCCAGACTATCCTCTACGTCTCTGCCAAATTTCTTCGAAATCCGTTGATCCGTTTAGGCTACAAACTCTAACAAACATCCATCCATCTAAACTTTCGCATTTATAATATTAGTATGATGATGTTATCCTTATTTTCACATCAAAAACATATTATTTTATACGGGACTTATCCTATTTAAGTGAAAAATTAGACAATTAATTCATATTAGCTATACAATTACTAACAACAGTGTCATTACCAGGATTTAAAAAGGTCCACAATCTTCGTTTTTAATTGACCAACATAGATAGAAAAAACACAACTGAAGGCGTTTGTCCGTTATAAATACTCATTTAGGGCCTGTCCCACCAAATTGTAAATTGTCTGATAACAATCCAACGTGTAATGTGATGGAAATATCGGATTTTGTTCCCTTATCTGACAGTGACGTCATTTTTAAGCTATCTGAGAATCAGCAAGTGGTGGAACCCTTAGTAACGTTAACTTTAAAAGAGGGTACTCATTGTCCTTGAGTAAATCAAGGGCAGTGCGTAAGTAAAGGGAAGCCAGTATTTTACAACGATAATGCGCAGTTTTTTCTTACATTGGTAATATCTATATAACCGAGGTTAAGTCAATTGAAGGTAGTATAAAAACAGATTGTGCGCATTTACCGAAGTTAATTTGGTAATGACGTAATATTAAATGTGATTATTAAATTAAATACCGTTTTTCTTTTATATTTGGAATGCAGTTTGACTTGAAATTCACTTTTACATTTTTTACAGTATGAACGTCACGTTGTCTTCATATCGAAAGTGCTAGTAAAATTAGATTTCCTGATAAAATGCAATTAGTAAAACTCCACTCACCCACCGATAGATCCGTTAGCACGCGACACGACAATCCCGTAACACACCAATTTGTAAGACACTTTAACTATCCTGCTAGCAAAACTTTCAAAACACTGTCCTTGCTAACATAAGCTAAAACAGCCGTGAAAGAGATATTCTATTTGCAATAAAACTTGAAGTTTTGTACGCGATCTCACAGCGTAGAATGTAACATCAATTAAAAGTAATTAGCATACAATTGTTGCGGTACACACGTCCGTCTCGCGCCGTGGCTCGCGGTTCACTGAAGGGAGAGAAGTGAGAAGAGACACGTCACTGGCTGCGCCCGCGCCGTGCTCACCTTTGCTATACGACGCTTGCAAAACTTGATGCTTTAAGAATGTGTTAAGAAATAAGTTTTAGGTTAATATTTTTATCGTAATATATCAATGCGGTTACCAAAGATATACATTGGCGAGTTTAACTAAGCCAGTTAACTTAACTCTCCGTTACTAATATTTTTATTTATATGTTATTTCTGAAAAAACCAACGTTTTTGTCGGTTTTAAATATTTTTTTTTCTTCATAATTTGACGAAAATACCATTAAAAGGACTACAATTTTTTTTATAATAAATTGCGTTTTCAAATGCATTGGAGTCACTCCAAGTATCTAAACTATTAAATCTGCGCGTAAAACTGACATCTCGCTTTACGGCCTCGATATTTGGCCGACGCACACGCACACACCCAACAAACCTCTCTACGCTCCATCTAACGATTCCGTTCAAGCCTAAACCTAACATTGCCTTTATAAAAACATGCAAAAAATTACTCAAAGCTTCACTTTAGTATTATTCAATAATTTTCGCCCGCGATTCCGTACGCGTGGAATTAAAAAAATAGTAAGTAGCCTATGTCTTTCAGACTATCCTCTATATCTATGGCAAATTTCATCGAGATCCGTTTAGCAGTTTTAACAAACTAACATCCATCTAAACTTTCTCATTTATATAAATAAAATTAAAAAGGTCAAAGGGCAATACCAAAATGGATAGTGTTACCGCGAATTTCATTGCTTATGTTTTTTATTATGTAAAAAAAGGTTAAATTAAGTTTAACGAATAATAAAACAATTACGTACTTCAACTCATTGGAGAGTTAATTGATTGAGTAATATAAAATAGACGTTACCATAAAAATATTCACCTCTTTCCGTGGATCTCAATGTCTTGATACTTTCACTTGACTAACAACCTGCTGTGATTTGACGTCATGTTAAAACACGCTATAAAAAGTAGAACGAGACATAAGAGTTAATACCATGAGCAATATAAATAATCGTAAATATTTAACGACACTTAAATATTAAATAAGCACTAGCTATTGCTCGCGATATTGTCCGCTAAATTTTAAAAAAATAATTAAAATATAGCCTATGTTACTCACTGATAAATTACCTTTCTTATGGTCAAATTGTTTTTTAAATCGGCCCAGTAGTTTTTGAGTTATTTCATTACAAAAATACAAATATTTTCTCTTTATAACATTGGCATATAGATACAGATTATTAAGCATAACGACTGTTAAATAATGGCTGACAGTTTTAACTAAAGAGCGTGTATAGGCATCGCTTCAACTAAACAGTTCGTTGCTTTTAAAACAGTCAAAACTGAGCGTCTGTAGCTGACTTATGCTGGGTTGCTGAAATTCATTTATTTTATAGCGTGGTGCCGGTGGCCTAATTTTAGTCCCTTTCCCTTTCCACCCTTTTCTTAAGAGAAAAGGATGGGAAGGAAAAGTGGATTTGACGGTGGAGGAGACGCATAGGAAATGACCTCTTTATGTGCGTCTCCTCCACCGTCAATTAAGGGGTTGCCTACCTGTGGGTTTATGGGCAGCGTTAGCTCTGCATTTCGGTGGATTCAGCTGGCCACTTGCTCGTTTGTCACCTTATATTATAAAAAAAAAATCATAACCTAGTGATTCATTAGTGTTAGATTGAATTGAGTTTCAAAGTTAAGCAGTTCGGAAACGCATTTCCAGAAGTCTTCGAACCACAAACTAGTTAACGAATGGTTTAAAGCTGGGAAACCGGGCATTATTGTTACGAATTTGAGAGGTTAAATCGACCATCACTATGTATGTTTCTAAAGTTCTTTTAGGTTTTGTTCATATTTAAAATTGTCGTAATTAAGGCACTAAGTACCTTTTATGTCGACATATTTAAAAATATTTTTCAAAATAACTTTTATAATTAAATAATCATTATAATTTAAAATGTCGAAATGTCTGAACATAAGCCTAAAAATTATGGTAACATTGTTTTTCAATTACCTTGAAAAGATTTTTATGCATATTTTAACTGAATTTTGAATTGTATGAAGGTTTTAATAATCTGTAAGCCATAGTTTAATAGCGAATCTCTTATTTTCACATTTGACAGATTCAAATTATAACCTCTAAATCAATTTGAAAAAATCGCACAAAAAATTGGAGCCACCTGCAAGCGCTACCTTTCGGATAAAAAAAAAATTAAAATCGGCCCACTAGTGGCGGAGTTATGGCGTAAAACACGTAAAAAAACATACAGACGAATTAAGTACCTCCTTCTTTTGGGAAGTCGGTCAAAAAGCGAAAATAATATAAGTATAATAAATCGCAAACCGTCCACGTTATGTTTAGTTCACAATTTCTTGATGTTAAATGATTCCTAGATAGTTTATAAATAGACAGAGTTCAGAATTAATCGATAACACATCACGAATCAGTCAATTTCATTCTTCAAAAATAAATTATATTCCAATCATGAAGAAAGTTGAAATAAGTTGATATATTACAACCGAAAACTAGTTACTGACAAGTGATGCTCGAGGGCATTTACTACTTAAATAATTGCTAACTTACGCTGTGTAGAATTTAGTTATAAATTATAGCTTATCATATTCGTTAATTAGAATCCAGACAGAAGTCTAACGACCGCTCTGTTCCGAAACCGTTAAGTATTATTGTTATTTAGAATGCGAACACCTTTGACTAAACTATCGCACAACTGTTGTCTCGCTTTGATTTCGCTTATATGAAGGTGTGCACACTACTCTGTTTTAGTTGTGCAACTAAACAGTTGAGGATGGGAAACAATCCACAATCGCACAACAAATGTGTCCGCCCGCTCTTAGTACGAATTACCCTAGACTTCCATAGATGTAACACATATATTAATACACTAGCTTTTGACCGCACCTCTGTCTAATCATCATCATCATCTCCCCTGCCTTATCCTACTCCCGTAGGGTCGGCGCACTGGGTTTTCGTCCTCCAAAGCATTCTATCATCCGTCATCTCAGTCATCACTCCCTTCTTGATCATGTCACCTTTCACGCAATCCATCCATCTCTTTCTAGGTCTACCTCTACCGATATACCCCTCCACATTCATAACTAACATCCTTCTTGTTACATGCGATTCATCCCTTCTCATAGCATGCCCATACAACTCTAACCTTTTACTCCTTATTTTCTCAACCACTGGGGCTACTCTCAAACTTCCTCTAACATACTCATTTCGTATCTTATCCAAACGTGTTACCCCACACATCCATCTTAACATTCGCATTTCCGCTACATGTATTCTCCTTTCATCCGTCCCTTTTACTGCCCAACATTCAGATCCACCTCTGTCTAATTTAAAAAAAAATCCAAAGTAACAAACCTAAGTGTTCTTCCAAACTATCCTCTACATCTATAGCAAATTAAATCGAGATTACTTCAGCAGTTTAGGCTACAAACTCTAACAAACATCCATACATCTAAACTTTCGTATTTAATATATTAATAAGATATTTTGGGTGCCAACATGTTTTTAAGTATCTCGATAGTGTAAACCCGTAGATAGTAGAGCAAATAAGAAAAACTTTTAGTGTTGCCATATGTAGGTTATCGAAGTATTTTTGACAAATATCTTCAAAATCCTTGGAGAAAGTTTACCCACAGAATAAAATTATTAAATAACGGAGTAAAACAACAAAATAACTTCTCACGCTTTACAGCCTTATAGTGGATAATAAAATTGCATTTATTTTAATGTCATAATTACAAAAAATATTTCCGGTTGCATAATTATGCAATACTAAGGGCTTCAATACATACTCCTGTTGCTTGCAACATCGTCGGCGTGAAATTATATTATACATTACTCAGTGATAACGTAACTTTACAATGGTGAAAGAATTTTTGAAATCCAGTAGTTCAGTAGCCCAGTAGTTTTTGAATTATTTCAATACATACATAAATACAAATCTTTCTTCTTCATATTAGTACTAGCTTTCGCCCTCGACTCTGGCCGTGTGATATAAAGAAAACTAAGTAGCCTATGTGTTCTTCCAGACTATCCTCTACATCTATGCCAATTTTCATCGAAATCCGTTAAGCCTTTTAGGCTACAAACTCTAACAAACATCCATCCATCTAAACTTTCACATTTATAATATTAGTAAGATTGATTACTAAGGTTTGATATATTATAAATTAAATGGATCACCAATCTTTCTGTCTTGTAGCCTAGTGGGTAAACGCACCAGGTTTCGTCCTCCATATTAATCCAGATTAAATAACTAGACTTTATTATATCAAATTCTTCCATCATAGTTAATGTTTATCTTTAGTCATGAATGAGAGAAAAAGGAAAATAATTGTACAAGAAATGGAATGATTTCTATTGACAAATATTTTCATGAATATTTAATATAGTGTACAAATTATTTTGTCATTATGTAAAACTGGAGAATTATGTCCCAATATATCAATAACTTATATAAGCTTTTCTTAATTCTATTAAAAATATTGGCAGTTACTTCAACAGATTATAAATTATGTTAAATGCAAACTGATGTAATATTTATTAGTATACGAATTTCAACAAGTGTTAACATGGTATGGACATGTTACGCGACGAGACGATGGGGACATAAACCAGAAAAATGTTAAGATTGAATGTGGATGGCTACAAAGGAAGAGGAACACCGAAAAAAGTATGGATGGATTGAGTGAAAGAGGATATGCTTAAGAAGGGAGTGGATTCAGATATGACGGCTGATAGAGATGTAAGAGCAGCACATACTGTGACGACCCTCCGTAAGGGATAAGGGCAAGTGGATGATGATACGAATTTCAACAAATATAACATACATATTTACAGCAGAGATTCAGATTTAAAAACATTCACGTCCATGACCCAGAATGGTAGACAGTGATAGTTAATCCTACTAATATTATAAATGCAAAAGTTTAGGTGGATGGATGTGTGTTTGTTAGATTTTGTAACCTAAACTGCTGAACGGATCTCGATGAAATTTGGGATAGATGTAGAGAATAGTCTGGAAGAACACATAGGCTACTTAATTTTCTTTTTTTAATTCCACGCAGAGTCACGGGCGAAAGCTAATGTAATAATTGAGACCATATCTATATTACATTCAGAGAAAGACAGTAGAGTAGTCTCTTGCTACAAAATGACCAGTTTCATACGCACGTAAAGGTTTGTCTTGACAAGTCTCGATGAACACTTCACCTACATTCTCTAACACCATCTTCAAACACTTATCAGTCATCAAATCGACAGGCGTCGGTTTGTCTTATACCAAATGTCAATAGTACGGTCGCCTAACGGAGTATTAGTGGCCGGGGGGCAAATTAAAATAATTTTTACAAGTCCATAGTCAACCGGTATCAGTTTTAACCAAAGAAAGCTTTTGTATGTGGGTCACAACCTGCCGTACAGAAACCGGTTCTCGATGTTTATTAGTGTTAATACAAAAAGATACGATATTATCAAGCAAAGTGGCGGATACAAAATTCCATATATATGTACAGTCGGGGAGTCTGGCGGTGATCTTGACGAGATTTTAAAAGTTTTGTAAGCATTAAAACGCGGAACAATAACCAATACGCAGCTTTTAAATGAGCGAGAAAAGTTCTGAAAGCTAGATGTACCTTTGTCTGATTGTGTTTTTTTTTTGTTATCCCGCCGTTTTTACAACTGCTACCTAATTGGTTATTTTTTAGATGTAGTTTTCTTGTTGCGAGGCACAAGTCAATCTGTAAGTGTTGCCACGGTTGCCACTACTAAACAGTGGGATTCGCTGACGAAATTCGACTTTCAGTGATAATCTTTTTAACGTCAGAATCACCTTGAAATTACTTTTGTTTATTGCCAATGGTGTATAAAACACTATACTATCAGTAGTACAACACCCTAATCTTACTAATATTATAAGTGGGAAAGTTTAGATGGATGGATGTTGGTTAGAGTTTGTAGCCTAAACTGCTGAACGGATCTCGATGATTTGGCACAGACGTAGAGGATAGCCTGGAAGAATATAGGCTACTCACTTTTGGTTTTTTAATTCCACGCAAACGGAGTCGTGGGCGAAATCTAATAGGATATAAATAAAACAACAAATATAAACATAGTTATAATTATTTTGACACGGTCAACTTACAAATTTTGTTGTTAGGTACCAATGTTTGTCGCTTAAATTTTAATTGTTATAATATATAACATAAAAAACTATCACTAGTAATATACGTAATTCAATGTTGTGATGATAGTCCCTTAGCCCAAAACACGATTATAAAGCTGGTCGTTTAAACACAAATTTATGATAAAAGGGGACATTTTTTAATATTAAAATGTTGCCAGCTTACCTTAATACCTAGTACTCAGCAGAACTGTGACTAGATTTAACGAATAAAACATAAATAATTTACAATTAAGGAATGACATGAATCTTAAATAATACGAGTATAGTATAAACAAGATTTAAATTTAAAAAAAACTTCGAAATATACGACGACCAAGCGTCACAGAGGCACGTTAAAATATTATACATATTTCACACGAAGAACCACAGAGCAATACAGTGCAGTAACACTCTTCGAACTCTGCGTTTGCGTAAATCAGAATTAAGTATCGACTGCTCTGTCAACTTTTCTGTCCTCGTGTGAAAAATTACAGTGGAAATCGACACTTCAGTTTACATAAAACTTTCTATCAGGTAGGATCTAGGAACTATTACTTCAAAACTAAACATCCGAGGACTTGAAGTTGACAATTGACATTAAAGTAACAGCAGAGATATGAAAAGGAGCCATGAATCACTCAGTACTATCAGGGAATGTCGCAGTGGTCCAGTGTCAGATAATTTGCTTTGTTCCGTGCAAAAAGACAAAGTCCGCCTCTTCCTACAAAAAACACAGTCAGACACAATTTAATGCCATGACATCTTATTGGGTAACATCTTGTATTAACGAATCTTAAACGAATTCAAAGTGACACACCGCTAGATTCCCCGATTGTACATACATGAGACTTCATACGTCACATATAGCGAATTTTTGCGTACTATGACGTCACCAGTGTTAAATCTCACATCGGAATGTAACTCCTATTCTTATAGTTACAAAGGTGTTTTTCATATATCATTCCTAAATCTACATCTGGACTGCTTTATTTTATGAAACAAACTATCGTATAAGCTATAACATTTCGAAATCTACAATAATCGTTACTTCAGTCCACTATTACAAATTTGTGACTTTAACTGAAATAATTAATTAAACAAAATAAATAATAATAATAGTGTAAGTTTATTTGGTAAATTAAATACTTTATTAATTCTTTATTACATAATTTAGGCCATTATTAATAATGTGGTTTATATAAAATTAATTTTTTAGAAGTGTTTGGAATAAGAAAATTTGCTTTTGCGTGCGTATATCTTGACTTTAAATGGCACATATAGCTAAATATTTTAACAGATAAGATTACATATTACTTATTCCTTTACCAATCAAGTTTTAAATCAAACATAACTTAATTACTGTAACACTTAAAAAATACTTACACACAGCCCTTACACTCGACTTAACAAGGTCCGTGTAAAACATCGACTATTAAAAAACAATAAAAAAAATCTATTGTAAATGTACTTGAACAACACATCACATCCAATCCAAAAGAAATTGTGACAAAAACTTGATCAAACCCATCTCAATTTTTTTTTTACCAAAAGCCTCTATTTTGTATCTTGCATATTTATTAAAAATAAAAAAATATAACTTGCTAATTAAATATAAAATAAATTGAAAACCATACAATTATGTCATATAATATGAAAAACTGTATGCCATTAAGTTTCTTTAACAAAAAAAAAATTAATAATAATTTCGATCCTTATGAAAAAAAAAATAGAAAAAATCTTTTTTTTTTAATTCACAAAAATCAGATTTTTTTAAATTCTCATCAATATTCAAATAATTGTAATACTTGTTCTTTAATATTATTATAAACATTATTAACACATAATAAGTTATAATAAATAAAATTATCAAGAAAAATAAAATCTTGACAATGGGTCGATAACTTCTTTTTTCGTTTAAGTTTCTTTTTTAATTCACTCACAATCGAATATAGTAATGTTTCAACGTCGTAATAATTTACGTAAACTGAAATATGACAAAGTCTATTATTAAAAAAAACTACATTACGAAGTAACAAATATTGGACATCGACATTTAGAAAGAGACACACTACGACTTTGTAGAGCGTTGTCTCTTTCACACGTTGCGAGCGTAAGAGAACACAAGGCCGAAGTATTATTGTCTCTTTCTAATAATGAATGTGCAATATTACATAACACTGTTCACTAAGACATTCCCATTCAATAGATATGCTACAATACCAAAGATTTTTAAAATTATATAGAGGAGACATAGTGAAAAATTTCACCGGTACTTTCTCTGAAAGGTACTATATCAGTATACTATATGATTTGTATTGTGTGTATTGAAATGACTCCTAAACTACTGGGTCAATTAAAAAAAATATTACACTATTAAAAAGCTACGTTATCAGTGAGTAACATAGGATATCTTTATTTTACACGCGGACGAAGTCGCAAGCAATAGCTAGTATTAAATAAAGTTTTACAAAACAATATTGACTTTTTAATTTTATTTAATGACACTTATTGGCAACTAATTTAAATGCAATTGACATATGATTATGTGAAAAAAGTGAAGTGTCAACTATGCCTCCTCTATATATATTTTGAATCTTTACACAATACCCATCTCATGTACTTAATACCTGAGTATTATGATCATAATGCCTTAACCACAAACCGAACATTAATTTCAACACATGCATCATACAAGTATACATTTCACCCTCGTTAATATTATCCCAAAAAGTCAATTTCTTACCAAATTCTATCAATGAAACAATCTTCATAAAAAGCTTATTCAGTTTCCTATTTATAAATGATTTACTATAGTCTTCATTGTCCTCTCTACAAATTCTACAATCACAACTGTCCTCTACATCAGAAGTGTTCAAGAAAACTTCATTTTCGTCTATTACATTTACATTATCGTCTTTTACTAGCGAGTCCGTATCTGTTACAACTATAGTTGGAATTGAGAAGTTAACATCTGAATTTCGAATATTAAAAGTGCCCGCTCTATAAATATCTTTATATCTATCTTTAAAACGAATGAAAGGTACAGGTTTTAAGTTAGCTACATTCTCTACCGACTCAGAACGAACATCGTCGATACTTTTGTCTAGTTCCGAACTTTTGAATTGAATGTGGGATGTGCATCTCTTCATTAATACTCTCTTTCGTAAGGTTTTGCTCTTTTGAGCCTCCTCGTACCACACATTATGTACGGTTCCAATTCTTCTCTGACGTAGATTAATCGATCCATTTCTATCAGACTTAGAGGTCCTCGACTCGTACGACACACTCCTAACTAACGGTCCTCTCATTTCCAACATATCAACTCCATCAATAAACTTCTCCGTTTCCTTAACTTCGTCAAAAAAGCTCTTAAATGAAAAGGTCTTTTGTAATTTCTTCACTTGCGGAGATATCCCACCCTTATCCATCTCCACACCCTTGTAACTCTTCAACACGTGCAACGCCAAATTCCTTCCTTCATTCCCCATCGCCAAAGATGCTCGCCTGCTTATCATTTTGTACTGAGAAGCTGGTACATCTTCGAAACTCCTGTACTGTTCGAGGATACGGTCGCTGTCGTTCGAATTCAACGACCAATCTGATTCACTCGACCAGTCCGAGCCTAGAGTGTTCAAGTAGTTGAAGATTTCTATTCCACCATCCAACGAGATGGATCTCTGAAGCGGTATATCATGATTGAATCTGTAATCTAATTCCTCGTCGTATTTCCCAAGCCAGTTGTCCAGTTCGGTGTTATTGAGGTTGAGGCTGAGTTCGAGGCGTAGATTGAGCTCGGGGCGGTGTAGCTCTGAGAGGCGGCGGGGGCGGGGGCGGGGGCAGTGCGGGTGCGCGCGGGGGAGGGAGTGCCTACGCAGTGGCGGCGGGGGCGGGGGCGGGGCCGGCGCCGGGGGCCGGGGCCGCCTTGCCGCGCGCGGACAGCGGCCGGGGGAATGCCCCCACGGAGAGATCAGACTCAGCAAAGAGCTTGCGAAAACTGACGGAAGGTATAGATATTAATTAACTAGCAATGAAAAATATAAAAAAATGGATCTACCATCGAGCGTGGAATTGAAAATTAGAGTTATGAATTGATTGTTTAATTCCAAACTATAACATCTTACGCTGTATTTGTTATGCAAGATACATTTATTCAGACACGCTCGTTGGTGGAAACATATGAGATTATTTTAAAATTAACAACAATGTTGAAGAAAAGGAAGATGACAAAAGGTTAAGCAGCAAAAAAAAACTTAATAAACTAGAAAATGTTGCCAGTGTTCAAATTTATCTTTTTAAAAAGTGAATAAGAATAGTAATCTCTTGCGTTGGATGTCACGAACATTTATTGATTTTCATTTGAGACTGGCAACAAAAAAATTAAGCCCAGTTCGCAAAAAAAAAATAAACAAAATACCTTAAACTACGTCGCAATCAGTACCAAGGACCGAAAGAGATCCGTGCCGGCGGCGAGCGACGGCCGGAGTCGCGTGACGTCATCGCCAACCAGAACCTGGCCGCACACACGCAACCACAACACTTGAGGGGAGGGTTCAACATAAAATGGCCACACGTGGACAAAATTATTAAAAAGGGAAAAACAAAATAGTGCATTGGAGAATAACAAAAAGTGAAGACTGAACATTAAAGAAAAGATAATAGAAAAAAGGGAAGACTTTTTCTTTTTCAAATTTTGAAGATTTAAAAAAATTATTAAAAAATGTGTAACGCATTTTTTGTGACAACTGTACATTATCACAGAATTGTGCTAAAATATATAACACAAACATATAATAAATAAAAAGTAATATTTATTTATTACAAAAAAAATCGACAAAAACAACAATAAAGGACAAGGATTAGGGAAAAGTGAAGCGAGGTAAGCATTGGTCGCTAGTGTTTTTAAAAAATCATGCAAATCCGTGCTTCGTGTATATTACGATGATCTCTTTCGGCCCTGGTCGCATTTTTCGCTCTTTAACATTTAAAGCCACCTAGAAATATAGGTAAAAAATTTTGAAAAGAAAAAACTAAAAATTTTTAAACCAAACAAATGCTTCGATATTCAAAAAACCTTAATTTTATTCATGCAAAACTATATCACCAGTACATAAATAAAATTATGTAAAAATGTACCAGAACCAAACAAAAAGCGTGGGTGAATGTGAGAAGAAATTACATAGGAAATACTTACATTGGAATTTACTACATAATATATATACGAATACTAATAATTAATATATCTTATTAATTTTATCCCAAAGGCCATAAAAAAAACAAGCAGTCATCAAAAAAAAAAATTAACATTACAAAAAAAAATCCCAAAAAAATTTACTATAAGGGTTCAAATTCTCTACGGGAACAATATGACGACATAACCAAAACATTTTTTAAAATACCCCAACATACCAAAATCACTAGATATAAAATGTAGGTAACAAGCAAAAGCAAACATGCTATACCCGACCAAGCTAACTAGACCTTTCATCTCTACTTACAACTTCCTGATTCCACTGTTGCGTTTCCACGGCGCGTCGTCCGGCTCCGCGGGGAGGGGGCCCTGCACCGGGGCCTCCTCCTCCTCATTCACTGTCGTACTCACTGATGATGAAGTGTCCGAACTTGTACTGGAAAACAAACTTAGATATCTTACTAATAAAAATACATAAGTTTAAATGTTTGTCAGTTTTTGAACACAAAGATTAGTAATCTAGGAAATAGTTAGTCCGTCCGGCATGGTAATTAGTCGCATAACAAATATGTTAGGTTCCCGAAGGATACATGTTTTTTCGTTTTTTTTAATACTGCGCGAACGAATTCGCGGGGAACAGTTAGTACTAATATAATAAAGTACACACCCTTCTTTGTTATGTAAGATATCAGCAAACACATTTGAATGTATCTTTTTATACAATAAGATTGGATTACATATTTATAAGCTATTAAGGGGTGAATAAATTGGAAAAAAGAGTCAAGCGAGAAACGAGCAAAAACTAAAAGATTGTTATGGTAACGGTAACTTTTAGCATATGGTAAAACCCATTGTTGTCTGTTGTACATAAGAATTTTCGACATTTGCAATTGAAAGTACAAATGTAACCAATCAAATTGATTTTTTATAATTCCACACGGTAGAAGCCGCAGTGGAACAGCTAGTATAAAATATGAGGGGGGGGGGGGATAAAGTGCGTTACGAAATACACCTCCTTTGTAAATAAGCATTAAGCGCTTGCTTTTTCTTACCTATCCGGCTGGGGTTCAACTTGCAGCGCTTGCAGCTGCTCTTCGAGCCGGTTCAGCTTCAGTTTGAGCTCATTCCGTTCGTGAAGGATGGCGCGGAGTTCGCGGACGCTGAACGTCGGCCGCGAAGACTGGTCGCCATCCTCCCCACCCTCGGGGAAACCCGCACCGCAAGACGTGCACTTATGCTGAAAATACAAACTTCATCTCATCCCTCCCAAGTCAGAAAGATTTATCCCAAAGAAAGTGATTCCCAAAGTAATCAAGATGGACACTAGGATTCATGAGAAGACGACTAATTCTACTTAGCACTCAAAAAATGTATTATTCCCAACCGTCACCCTACTCTGTCCGCACGTGAGAATAAAAAGTTTCATCCCTCCCACCTTTTAGTTTCACTATCACCAATAAGGTGACAGATGGAACCTTTAGGAAATAAAATAAGTTCCCACCGGCCCTCGTCGCAGAATGTGGGACGGATGGAACTTTTTATTATCATTTGTTCCCACGTGGGGACAGAGCGGGGTGACGGTTGGTCTTCACATTACGTTTCGAGACCTATAGTTTGAAAAGCTCTTATCAGTTTTATTTTGAAAACTAAAACGTTAGGAATAATTGAAAATCAATGTGGAAATATTACCGTTTTCTGTGCATCAGTTTGTTGCAGCACGGCGATATCCCTCTGCTGGGATTGAACTATGGCGGTCAGTTCGGTACGCTCCTCGCACACTAAGCGCATCTGGAAATAATCATATGTCTAATGAAAAAAACACATAAAACTGTGATATACGATAGTGCAGATGAACATAAAAGTGTATTTTTCTCATTATCAACTTGCCCTTACCCCTTACGGAGGGTCGGCACAGCATTTGCTGCTCTTCCATACATCTCTATCAGCCGTCATATCTGAATCCACTCCTTTCTTAAGCATATCCTCTTTCACACAATCCATCCACACTTTCTTCGGTCTTCCTCTTCCTTTGTAGCCATCCACATTCAATCTTAACACTTTCAGGTACTATTAGGTTATTTTTTTCCTTATACTATTACAAAGAATGTCATTTATTAAAGCAGTATTCAAACCTTTAACGTAAAAGGTACAAAAATAACATGAAAAGCGCGCAAACTATTATTGCGAGCTTCATACAAACAGCTGCATTCACACTCAAGCTCCGTAAAAAGTAGAATATGTCGAAGGCGTGAAAGAGGCGCGTTTTGTATTTCTGTTGAATCTACATTGCTATTCACAAAAGTAAAAAAACGTGCCTTCACTATTTATATATCTATACTAATATAATAAAGCGTAAACACACTACTTCGTGACGTAAGATGTCAGTAATAGCATTTTTGGATAACTCTTCCTTTAATGAAAAACCCTACAATTATGACACGCTTTAGGATATATATTTTCACGATATTAAACTTAGAGGGCAAATAAATTGGATAAAACCCTCATGTGGGAAAGGGATCATAAACTAGAAGCTGCCAACATTAAGGACGCAAGGTTATTATAGTAACGAGAATGTTGCCATTTGCAATTGAGAATTTGACAGATGTAAACAATAAAATAAAGTTTTTTATATTGATGCGGATGAAGCCGCACAAGAACAGCTAGTATTGGTATAAATTTGATATCAATTACCTAACACAAATAAACCACAATGGGCTATAAACAAACAAATTGGAGAGCAAGCATCAAGTTTATCGCATTAGTTAATCGAACAGCTACTAAAATTTATTGACCAATATTAAGTGAGGTTTGGTCGCAATCAACGTAATAGGATTTCGAGGTGCGTTTGAACGTGCTCTATGTTTCCTCTGCCAAAACACCCGAATTAAATAATATAGCGATTTCACCTCGTGCAAGGAAAAAGTAGGGGATGGAAATACATTATGATCATCATAAAAACTACGAGAGACACGTAGAATCATCAAAAATTTACTAAAATATCAAAACGTAAAAAGACAAATTATTGATGTCAGTAATCACACCATATTTTCAAATATACTTTTTTTAATAAAAGCCCCTACAGGTACATGCTTTAGGATATACATTATCACGCCATTTAACTAAGAAATAAGTAAATTGGAAACAAATGGCTGTGCGAGAAAAGGGACACAAAGTTAAATTTAATTTCAGTTATGTTGCCATAGTTACTTAAATTCTCAGGTCGTCAGGAAGGGCCTTCATTTTTATTTGAGCACTAGCTTTCGCCTGCAACTCCATCCGCGCGGGATTAAAAGAAACAAAAGTGAACAAAAGCAGCCTATGTGTTCTTCCAAAATATCCTCTACATCTGTACCAAATTTCATCGAAATCCGATAAGCTGTTGAGGCTACTCACTCTAACAAACATCCATCCATCCATCTAAACTTTCGCATTTATAATATTAGTAAGAAGTATGATTTGAATTTTGACATTTGAAATTGTAAGTTTAACGTAAACAACATGAACGGAAATAGCTAGTCACAATAAAAACTAACTCAAAAGAGTAGAAACAATTTTGTACGTCAGAATAGCTGCTATTTCAATAACCAAAACCCATCCCAAACAAGCGAAGAATTCGGGTGCAAGCTAAAACGTAGTTGTGATTCGTTTGTTCAAAATTGCTAAAGTTTAGCATGCCGGAGCGTTCTAGCATTTCGTGCCAACTTTTGGTCTCATATTTATACTGAAACCTTTGTAAAAATTCAATCATTAGACACATTGGTTAGTTGCCAAAAGAAATACAACGCCCAGTAACGATTTTAGTACATTTTCATATTACCATTAGTATTAGATGTATTCTGAAAACCGCAAACAATCGTTTTATTAACATTTCATTGAAGAAATATAAGAAAACTAGCTTTCGCCCGCGACTCCGTCCGCGTGGAACTAAAAATTACAAAAGTGAGTAGCCTATGTGTTCTTCCAGACTATCCTCTACATCTATACTAAATTTCATCGAGATCCGTTTAGCCGTTTAGGCTACAAACTCTAACAAACAAACATCCATCCATCCATCCATCCATCCATCTAAACTTTCGCATTTATAATATTAGTAAGAAGTAAGATTTCCCTCTGTTAAAGATATTCTTCATTGATGAGAAGGGCCCTTATTCCCTTGAAGTACGTGATTGAGGGCTTATGTTACAAGTAGTGTATCGAGTGACGACACAGGGTGTTCTTGTATTATTTAGGTTAGTGATTCTGTTCTTTACTTTATGAATCTTATATTATACTGTAATTGCGACAGTTATAAGGCTTTACAAGTACTTAGGTTGTTATAGTCATCATATTTAAACATATTACAACTTAGGGGGTAAATAAATAGGAAAAAATCGTCATGCGGGAAAGGGACAGAAACTACACGCCAATAGCATCAAATAAAGATTGCTATGGTAACTTTCCCTTTCCATCCTTTTCTTAATAGAAAGAGATGGGAAGTATAAGTGGATTTGATGGTGAAGGAGACTCCTAGGAAGGGGAAATGTCCTCTTCATGTGCATCTCCTTCACCGTCGATTAAGGGTAGGCAACGCAACGCATTAAATAAATAAAAAAATAATCTGCAATTGCGGATGTCTATGGGCAGCGGTCGCTTTGCCATTTTTGTGGTTTAAGGTAGCCGCTTGCTCGTTTGCTATTTCGTAATTTAAAAAAGGCAATTGTTGGTATTTGTACATTTGAATATTTGCACTTGAAAGTTTAACAAATGTAAACAATAACATAAAGTTTATATAATTTTATGCGGATGAAGCCGCACGGGAACAGCTTGTTATAATAGTGCGGCGTAGTCCAGACACTTGCACTCGCGGGGGAAACATTTTAAATTCATGAAAGTTGGACCGGCACTGCATTTACGTGATTCAATTATGAAAAAATCTTCTAAAGTATGTAAATAAATGAATACAAATCGATAGTGAAGGTGAATTTTAAATAACACGATCTTCATACTATGAATACGATAATCGTATCAATTTCTACTACAAATAAGAAAATATCGTTATCTCTGTTTTTTCAAAGGAGATGAGAATGACAAAGTATTTTGGTATGTGTGTTACTGCAGTGTAGTCACGGTAAGCATGCCTGACATTTCACTCAAGATATCAACAATATCCTTAGAGCGGGCGCACTTTTTGGACCATACAATCGCACAGATGTTGTGCGATTGTCGATTGTTTTGGCAATCAAATATCTAGTAGTGTGCACACCTCCATATAAGCTCACAGGAATCAAAGCGAAACCTAAACAGTTGTGCGACAGTTTAGTCAAAGATTTGCGCATGCTCTTTTCCATGCATAAATATTGCATCTATATTTTGTAATAGAAATACTAGAAGTCAATTTAAAGACTCCAAACTTCTAAGTTACATATCTATGACAATCCACCTCAGCCTTTCTGGGTGGTAAAAAATATCTCATATCTTTTCTGTTATATGCATTTTCTGTTATATATGTATCACCATTAAAAAGCTACATAATCGCTTAGTAACATAAGTTACATTTTTAAACTAGCTTTAGCCGTCGACTCCGTCCGGGTGGAATAAAAAAAAAACAAAATCGGGTAGCTTATGTGTTTTTCCTGACTGCCCTCTACGTCTGTAGCAAATTTCATCGAAATCTGTTCAGCCGTAGGGTACAAACTCTAACAAGCATCCATCCATCCATCCATCTAAACTTTCGTATTTATAATATTAGTATGATAGTATATAATTGTAAAGCAACATTACCTGATTTTGTAGCTGCTTATGCTTCCTTCGTAGATCCCGACTGACTTGCGCCAACTTGTCCACTTGATTCGTCAACTGTAAATTATCCAAAATCGCCATATCAATACGCGAACACCTTTACTGAATACTATTTAAACAATAAAACTGGATAGTAACTAAACATGTTAAATATTTTATACAAATATCAAATCATAACAAATATAATCTAAAAGATCATGTCCTTCAATACCTATGATAATGTTAACAGATATTTTATCCGACTTTTCGATAAGATAAGATAACCTTAATATTTAAGGCAATTCTTTGCAGGGAGCCAAAATATGTCTATCAAAAGGAGCCGACAAATTGACTTAACCATTCTGAAATTGCTCAATAAAAGATTAAATGACGAGGACGATTGTTATATAGCTTACGTAATTTATATACATTAATATACTAGCTTTCGCCCGCGACTCCCTTCGCGTGGTATTAAACAAAAGTAAGGCTGAAAACCAGCGCGGCCTTTAGTGACAAGCTGGAGGCCGCATCAGCTGAGCCATCTCCTTTTTGCAAAGATTTTTTTGTTTATTTCAGTAATATGTTTTGTAAGTTGTATTCTTTTTTACAATTATTTTTGCCAATAAATAGTGTTTTTATTTTAAGTTTGCATCCTTTCAGTCTATCCTCTACATCTATGCCAAATTTCAATGAGATCTATTCAGAAGTTAAGGCTACAAACTCTAACAAACATTCATCTATCCATCAACACTTTCGCATTTATAATATTAGTATGATGAACACTAGCTTTCGCCCGCGACTTACTTCGCGTGGAATTAAAGAAAACAAAGGCATGTAGCCTAATCGTTCTTCCAGACTATCCTCTACATCTATGCCAAATTTCATCGAGATCCGTTCAGCAGTTAACGCTACAGACTCTAACACCCATCCATCTAAACGTTTGCAATTACAATTTTAGTATGATTACTTTTGTCTCTGTTGTCTTTTAAAATAACGAGTGAGATAGCAACAGTCTCCTGATTTCACGATACTGTAGACAATACAAAATTAAACTTCAAAACGTAGCGAGTTGACTTCACTATTATCCTATACATTTCTCGCAACGCTACCAACATTACAAAACAGAATTATCAATAAAAACATTGTATTACAAATTGATACGATATCCAATTAGTTCGAGTACGATACTGTTATGAAAGCCGTATGCTATTGTACACGATACCTTCAATGGTTATATCACTTCAATCAATGAGCAATCTTAAGCTTTTAGAGCTTTGAGAGCTTTAATTACAAGCATATACAAGACTTTTATCACTACATAGTATAGAGTGAGAGCGTCGGTGGCTTAGGGGTTTGAACAGTTTACCTGTAATCTACAGGTCTTGGGTTCGAATCCCGACATGTACCAATGTGATTTCGATTTTTCTAAATTCATATGTACATAATTTACCCGTCGTTCTTACGTTGAAGGAAAGCATCGTGATGCCTGCACATATCAGCGATGAAATTCAAAGATATGTGTAAAGATAATTTATATTGTTGGATTCCAATAAATTATTTTCAATATACTCGTAGTTATGAAATGCTGATTCTTTTAGATGTTTCTAATTTGATGTGAAACACATTTTTGTGTCAGCATTGTATCCATGCGAAGTCAGGGCGAGTCGCTAGTCCTGTACATATTCTATTGTAATGAAAAACAAGTATCGCGCACTCAGTATTTTATTGTTAACTAAGGGTATTCTTGTGTGAAAATGAGTGAAACCAACAATTATCGTAATAATTCCATCAATTTTAACAAAGTTCTATTATAATTTTAAATTAAAAATGTATAAAACACCATGTTTTATTAAAATTCTTATCAAAGTAAAACGCTTATAAAAGCTTCTAAGAATACTGGATAAAGAAAATACAGACAAGGTCGTCCGCCCACGCTACATAAATGGCCTTAAGTCCGTCCATTAAGAAAAATAAAAACCGTCACAAACACTTCTTTTAAGAGACAATTTTCAATTTTCTCATGTCTATTTATAAACTTGACTTGTACAGTCAGATTTACAATGCTTCTGAAACCTTTATACGCCTTCGGTTTTAAAAATATGAATGCAGGAAACCATCTGAATGCTTCATACTACGAATTCATGCTTATGACAATGTGCAAGAATATATTTGAAACTTAAACCCTACACAAGTTTTATAAATATCTAAATATTTATGCAGCTGATTGTACACACACGAAGCCTTTTGTTGCTCGTGTTCAATGCGTTCTTAATGTTATTTTTATATTACTAGCTGTTGCCCGCGACTTCGTCTACGCAATCTTACTAATATTATAAATGCGAAAGTTTAGATGGATGGATGGATGGATGGATGTTTGTTAGCGTTTGTAGCCTTAACGGCTGAACGGATCTCCATGAAATTTGGCACAGGTTTAGGGCATAGTCTGGAATAACATGTAGGCTACTTTTTATCCCGGGAATAGTTACGGTTCTCTTGGGATTCATTAATTTAATTTTTTAATGTTTACTCGATCATTCTGCAACGGTTCAACATATCTTATTGAAATTTGGAACAGATATAAAACAAAGACTGGAGTACACGTGGGATAAGATTCATCCCCGAGAAATGTTCGGTTCCCGAGGGATACATAGCTTTTTGTTATTTACATAGTTCGTATGTTTTCTAATACCACGCAGACGAAGTCGCGGGCAACAGCTCGTAATAATATAAAAAGTAGCCTATAACATGCCCGTTTATGTCTGCTACCCTCCAGAGTCTGGTTGAAATCGGCCCAGCCATTTCGGAGATAACACGGAACAAACGCGGCTTGCGGACAGACAGACAAAAAAAAATTAAATGCGATTTTCGTTATCAGCAACGCAAATACAGACACACCAATTTTATTACATGTATAGAAGATATAGATAAATTTATCTTTAAAAAGATGCAATATATTCACTAATACTCGATAGATATTAAAACGGAACCAGGCTACAAAGTTGATAAAATTCGAGAATAATTTCCAAAAAATCTGAATTTAGTACAGCCTGAGATTAACTGAATACGTTATTTTTAATACTAATCAATACTGATACTGCTTACATCTGACCTAGATAACGGCTACGATGTACAGTCGCGGAATCCCGCGGCGTTCCACTTCAGGAACAATTGCCTTTATTGCAACGAGACAAACTCCGCCTCTAATGAAATACCTAATTAGATAGCAGTGCAAACGAAGGGACAATAATAAAAAGAAAGTAACCGAGTATCACTAACAGACTTTTATAGTAGAAGGTGGACAACGAGCGAGCGGCCACCTGAATTCGCCGAGAAAGCTAAGCGCCGCTGCCCATATACATTCGCAGATGTGTTGCCTACCCTTAATAAACGGTGAAGGAGACGCACATAAATAGGATAATTTCCCCTCCCTATGCATCTCCTCCACCGTCCAATCCACTTTCCCTTCCCATCCTTTCTGTATAAGAAAATGGTGCGAAAGGAAAGGGACTAAAATCAGGCCTCCGCCACCACACTCATCAGACGAAACTCGATATTGCTTCCACTTCACGCCTGTCTTCCGTACAGAGACATTTATAAGCTGTGTTGTATTTTTGTTCCGCGTCTAGTTTCAAAATGTTCAAACGATTATAGGTAATGTGAAACACCGCCAGTTTCCCCAATTGTACGTCACAATATTTGGATACAATATTTAGTGCTAACTTTGACTATCGTGGTTGTTGACTAAGAACTAGTTAATACCAACTTGGGATCGACCCTCGTGGAAACGTGTGACAAGGCGCATTTTTAGCATTATCGGACTAGGCGACTACGGCACCCCGTACGGCACGCTTTAGGCTATACGAAAAATGTGCCCTGGAGGATCACCGATTCATGATAGACTACAATTGCATTGGCATTTGGTTTGGCATGGAACAAGCGTACTCCTCTGTTGGCGTAAGAAATAAGCGCATACTGCGGTACACATGGAGTCTTAAGATAAGAACACACCTACTTCATACGTAGATTAGGGTTTAGAACACATTGAGGAGTGATATCAAACTAGTGGTAATAAAATTTCTAGCGGTAATAAATTCTACATCAATTGATTCAGTACGACTGTAAAGCGTTATATAACACTAGCTGTCGCCGGCGACTCCGTCCGCGTGGAATTAAAAAAACCAAAAGTGAGTAGTCTATGTGTTCTTCCAGGCTATCCTCTACTGTGTCAAAATTCATCGAGATCTGTTCAGCTGTTTAGGCTACAAACTCTAACAAACATCCATCCATCTATACTAAACTAAAATAATATTAGTAAGATTATGATTGGAAGCTATTTCGGTAATTAATTTTAAATTCTGTTTATTTATGTAAAAAGTATACAATCATGAATGGTAGAATATCGGATAACAGCGTCATAACAACTAAGCAATTAAATTCGAGTGATTCATACACAGGTGACTTTTATATGCATAACATAGGTGCAAAAGGTTTGGTTACCCACGTGACATTACAATGTGTAACAAATACATTGTTTACCAATATTGAACAGAAAGTGAAAATTAAAAATTACTTTATGTGAATACTAGCTGTTCCCGTACGGCTTCATCCGCATGAAATTATGATTTTTTTTTATTGTTTACATTTGTCAAAGTATCAATAACAAATGTCGAAATTACATGACATGACAAACCTTGGCAACCTTGCTTCCTTGATGTTGGCAGCAACTTATGGTCTCTTTCCCACATTAGGGTTTTTATGCAAAATATTCATCAACCTAAGTTTAATGGCGTCAAAATAAATAGTCTAAAGCGTGACGTAAATGTAGGTCTTTTTATTAAAAACAGAATTATTCAAAAATATGCTGTAATTGATGACATATTAGGCAACAAAAAAGTTTGTGTTTACGCTTTATTAAAATAGTATAGTAATAGTATAGATTTATTAAACTAGCTCTTAACAGTGACTGCGTCTGTGAGAAGTAAAACAAAATACTTCATGTCTTCTTCCAGAGTACGTTCTACATCTGTGTCAAAATTCAGTAAGATCCGTTAAGATGTTTTGGAGTTCCTTAGTAACAA